TTGTTGGAAGAATATCAATGAAAATTAATCAAATAGTCATGAAGGAACCACAGGGAAGGAGTGTAGAACACTGGTGGGTAGACTTCTGGCAGCAGTCATTGCAACAGTTTTAATGAGAGGAAAACACATTCTCAAAGTAAGTTAGACAGTAATGACTTGATTAAATGGTAAATAATGGTTAAATACATGCTTGGAGGTCCAGGACAGAGACTGTGGAGTTGTTGTTGTTTTGTGTGTATTCCTCTCCATGCTGCTCTGAGTAGCCAGAGGAGCTCACCAGAACTCTGCCTGTAATTTAGGGTCAGATTGTAGCTTTTAAGACACTGAAGCTGAAAGAGTGTTGGGGCCCTGCTGCTAAGGCTGAGGAAGCTGAGGCTTTCTCTATAACTCCAAAGCTTAACCAGCCTTTCTGTTGTTGATATGTCCTTGTTCCTCCACCAGCTGCCTCGCCTGAGCAAGCGCCAGCACCACAGCTCTGCTCCGCCTGCTGTTGCCCAAAAAATGACTGTGCAGGAGACATCTGCTCTCCTTACGCACAGCAGGGGGAGAGGGAAAGATTCTGTCTTCTGCTGAGGCAGATTTTGTCCCCACTAGCTGGGTGTTTGCACATTTGCGGGTGAGAAAATTGGGTTACATATATGACTGTTTAGGCAAACAGGGAGTGCTGCAGTGCTGGCTGGGAATGTGCCCCATCCATATGGTTCCTTTCCCTGTCTGCTGAGGAAAGGATGTGTAAAGAATAACATTCAGAAGTTGTATTAATTCTCAAATGTTTCTTTCTCAAAATGGGAGGCTGTACACACAAACTCTGACTTGTTAGCTCTGACAGTCTGACTCTGACTTCATCTAGTCATAACACACAACACAGTTGTGTGTTGTGTGAGTCCATTGGAGAGGAACAGACCTGTTTAAGAAGTGTTTTACCTGCTGCTTTCCACTTTCCTGTTCAAATTGTCACAGTAAGGATACCTCAAAAACAAAAATAGAAAACTGAAATAACTCTGAATTCCCTTTTTGTAGGGTTTAACATTATTTCTTGGTTGTCAGTAAATCTAAGTATAGTTGCTCTGGTGGCTTTGGTATAGTGAGGCAGAAGCTTCATCTATGTTATTCCTTGCTGCATGGCAGAACTGTAAGGAGTGCATGGGGAGCTTGTCTGTCACAAAAAACCCCCCACCAAACAGGGCTCTTACTGGGACACTAAAAGCTGAAATATTTGCTTAGTTTATAATTCAAGTGATCAGCAAACTGTGTCCTTCAATAACAGCCTGGCAGCTTGGTTATTAGTTAAACTAATAATCTTTTTACTTCCCACAGTAGAATATTTTCTTACGTAAGGCTGCATATTGTATCTCAGCACTAATGAGGGGAAAGGATATAATTAAAAAGTACATGTTATGGTTTTGATTTAAAAGTTTATATTTTTACTTCAAAGGTCAAGGATAACAGCTCATATACTGCATATTTCTCCAAAGCATAACATGATTTATAATGGTTTCAGTTCTAATCTAGTCTGTTTTACTTAGGTGTACAATTGTGCATCCACAGGTTTTTGTCAGGCAAATGTAAACCAACTGGCAAGTAGGATTTTCAGAACTACTTGGTAGTGTTTTAATGTTGCTTCTTGCATAAACCAGAGGTTTATTATTGGCTTTAATAGGATCATAACAAATGAATATTAAGAGCTTTTGCAAATTCTACCCTCAACAACTAAATATTTGATCAACGAAAGGAAAAGGTACTTTTAACATTTAAGTTACAGAAAATATGAAAATAATAATTGGCACAAAACCATGCTCAGAATTTCCTGGCACATTGCTGAGCCCAATTTAAAAAAATGGTACTTCTCTGAAGTACAAATTCACTGAGCAGATTTATAAGATTAGAGAAATACACCTGTATGTATAACCTTTCCTCATTTATTGACTGAAATGTTTGGATTTTTAAATACTGGGTTTTATTATTATTATTATTATTAATATGTGACATTTTTACTTAGGTTTATGGGCACGAATATTTGTGGCTATTGCCAGGGCCGTTTCAAACCAGGATTAGTAGATACCTGTCACTGAATCAGGCGCTCAGACTCTAAATGGCGTGAAGACACCTGCAGCTGCTAAAAAGCAACGCCCATATAAGGCTGGACTGAAAATCAAGCACTGATGCATTAACATGACTTTCCATCTTATAACTGAACATTTACTGTTTCTAGAAAATGCCACTAATCTATAACTTTTATGGACCACTGCAAAAACACGCAGTTTTAGAGTACAGCAAACCCAAACGGAAAACATCTTTTAAGCCAGCATCACAATTGGCACCTTTTTCAGCAGGCACAGCAGAAGGGCCAAGAACTGCTGCTAATTTCTAGAAATTGATGTGAGTTGGAAGGTTCAGGGTTAAAAATGCTTTTCTGACTCCTTTCTCACCTTAAAGTTGGCCAGTGGGATGTCAAATATGTGCCTGATCTCCTCATATCAGGGAAGATGACTGATTCTTTTCATGGTGCCTGTTACTGTTTTCTTATTGTTTTTCTTAATAATTTGGCATGCAGTAGAGCCCATTACTTGACTGGGATTCATTTCTTTGCATTTTGTTACTTCTGTACTCCAGGGGATTTCCTTGAGGAAGCTAATATCTTTCCTATGTTGCTGCAGTGGCACAGGATCCAAGTTTCTTTGTTAAGAATTTCCATAACTCAGTCACCGGTAATGTTGGTACTGTTTGCTCCCTTTCTAGCAAGTTACCTTTAATTTCTCAAGGTAATTACACTGACGAAAAGCCTCAGCTTTGTTGGTTTGGCTTGGCAACATATTATCTTGTTACCGTGATCTCTTGTTTGGAAAGATTCTTTCTGTATGGCTCATTGCATCCTGACTCAGAGATGATTATTGTAACTTTGATACTAGGAAAATCATTAGGAAATTAGACAAACTAACATTGTAACAACGTCTACAAGTTATATTATGCATGGTTGCCTAAAAGAAGAAAGAGGCTTTGAGAGAACCTTTATATTAATTGCCACACATACCTCAGAAAATTGAGATGCGGCAGTAGCAGTATTTGAGGTCTTACAAAATTTTCAAAATGTTCAGGGGAAACATGGTAGAGCTTTCTCTTCGTCACAGGCGCTGTATATCACAAAGGATAGTGTTGACTTAAAAGTGCTGTTGTATTCCTCAGAGACCCAGAGGGTGAGCTGTAGATGTATGGAGTCTGTGTATGTTCATTCTTCATTTACTTTAAATGCTTTATGTACAATTTGCTTTACACTGTTGGCACTCTTTTATTTCTAATCCAAAGAACGCATGTGCAACATGCAGCCAGAAATAAATCCTGTAGGTAAAAGAAAGTAGAAATTGGCTGAAGATCAAAGGTTATCCTCATTCCACTCCTTCTTTCACTTCTATTATCCTGTCTAAATTTGGTCTTTTGTAGAGAGGATTGGATGGGGATTTTTTCATGAGGAAAGGTTGAGCTTAAATAAGAGTTTAAGGTTTTATTTGTTTTTCAAACCTGTATGCAATTTGAACAACAATAGAAGATTGTGGAGTAGCTTAAGGAAACAATATTTCACCTCAAGTATTCTGTGATCATTCATAGATTAAGCGACAGATAGGGAGTATTGGGGTTTTTGTTGCTTGGTTGGTTGGGTTTCTTTTTATCTGCACACTAAAACAAATCTGGTATCATTAAAGTCCCTATTTCAAAAACATTTGGGCATGTGATTAACAAAGGCCTAAGATGTAAACAGAACTAATTGTGAGATTGCTTGCTTGCCAAGTCAAGCCTTAAGTCTGTGTATTGGAAAATTTCTCTAGAAAATAAGATTGTGATTTTTGCATTGATTTTTGTATTGAATTTTTGATGACCTTCTTCACTAGAACATGGTAAAAAGATGTTGCTTTTTCCATCTTTGTTGAGCCCCAGTTTTTAGCAGATACCTTCTAAATGCTTTATTTAAGGCTATGAAATACACTGCAATGAGTATTGATGATCATCAGTAGATCAACTAGCACAGAACAAGTGGAAAAGTTGTGATGGGTATTTACAATAATTTCGAAGCTTTACTTATCATTACTCACTGAAAGGAAATTAATCAAAACCAACAGCTGTCCTTAGGAAACTACCACAAAGCTTCTCTCTAAAATCTTCACTCCAAATTAACATTTTTTGTGCAATTTTTCTTGTCATTAAAAATGAAATAAATTAATTTTACATGAATTACAGATGAAAATTTTGTGGTAGTGCTCATATAGTTATAGATCACCACATAAAATGAGGTACTATTGATTCTGGCTGCTGAGCAGCTGCTTAGAACATTGTTGGTCAGAAATGAGTGGCACTGGTAAAGATATCTACAAAGTTCTGGATAGTTTCAATTTATACAAAAACCTTGAACAAAAATAAGTGTTAGTGCTGATTCCAAAACACTTCAAAATGGAGCTAAGAGGTAACATATGTTTCTACTGTTTTTCAGTCTATGGTTGCACACTATACACAAACCCCAAATACAAGGGAAGAAGCGATTTCTAAATAAAAATTTTGTTATCTCATTTGAAAAATGCAATGACTTTTGATTGTATTAGCACATCTTAACTACAAATACTTTTTGTCTTATCAAAGCCATAAGTGCCAGGGTTATGTCAGATCTCCCTAAATAACATGGGCATATGTTACATTGATATGCAAATAGAAAGATAATCCAGGATGATAAATGGTTAACGATGGTAAGAAAAGAGATAACCTCATGTTTCAACTAATCTCAGGCTATTAGGGATCAGCATGAGGGACATTATCTCACATCTGTCATATACAGAATTCCATATACCTAACTCCAAAGTATCTACTATGGGCCATAGTCAGGATACTGGGCCAAATATATCCCATGATCCCTGTACAATATCTGTGAACTTTTATATTCTCATGCAGCAGATGTGAAATATGCCAGTAATATCTGTTCTGCTTTAATTATTTGCACTACTGTATTTGAATACTAGGTTTTGGTCACCTAACCAAGCAATTGCTGAAGCTAGCGGATGGCCGTGTTGTGCTGGCACTGGAGGGAGGACATGACCTTACTGCCATTTGTGATGCATCTGAAGCCTGTATAAACGCCCTTTTAGGAAATGAGGTAAAACACAAATCATAGGAGGTGAAAATAATGACCTAAGCTTGCTGAAAACCCTATCTTTGATTTTCTTTTAGTAACAATGGAATCAGCCCTTTTTTCATTTGCTACAAAATCCATGCAATTTGAATATGTATTAGAAATAAGCAGACTTCAGATGAATTGGTTTGGATAAATACCTCTAAATGAGATGATTTTACAAACCCTTTAGTGTGTGCCGAAATTATTCCCGGTTCTGAGTAATATTTAATACCTCAAAATTACTTTTTGTGATATACTGAATACCAGACTTAATATAGTTGGTAGTTATTGGTGTGCATATCATCTATCAGGATCAGAACTTCCAGACTATCATGGGAAAAAAAAAGATGTTTTTTGCAAGGTATCTGGTAATTTTAGGAATTGTATATTGCAAAAGCACATTTTTTGCAGTATTTTGGCACTTTGACTGGCATGTGGAAGAACGTATTTCACAGGCTTTTGAAATTGAACAACAATATTAATAAAAGTGTGTCCAAGACTTCAAAAAAATACTTTGTTATAAATGACTCATTTGTACGTAATTTAATTGGAAATTCCAATATGTATCAAACACTATACATTATTTAAAAACTTTTGAGACTGGACTATCAGACTAAGTAAATATAAATAAATTATATTTATGGACACAAACACAAGATAAGCATTCATATTAGTGTAAATTGTTCTGCTGTCTACAAGAAAATATCTTTTTTCCCATAAATGTGATGAGAAGGAAAATAAGCTCGCTGAAGATGCAGCCAATGCAATTTATGAAAGGACAAAAACCTTTACCATAAAATGGGAATTTTGCAAGATCTTGTTATAAAGCACAGTGTGTTACTTTCTTCCCCCAGGGAGGTGGTAATAACTACGTAATCTCTCAATCGAATGTAAGCCAAATTGTAAGCTAGCTTGCCAGTTCCCTTATATTTTGAGACTTTATACCCATGTGAATAATGTGAAGTAATGTGTCTTCTGATAAATATTGGATAGAAGGATTTTCTAAATGCTCTTTTAAACCCTTGCTTTTAATTTTTATGACCCATCAAGAAAAATACTTTCATGTTTATTACTTTTTATGTTATACATGTAAAGAATAAAGTGATAGCTTTTTCAAAAATGTTCTCAGAAATGTAAGGAAGTAGTCACGTTAAAAATAAAAAAAAAATAAAAGCTTTAATTGGGTTTTATCTGATATAATCTTTGATAGGTCTGTAAAGAGAGTTTCCCAGTGTTGTGATATGCATTACTGAAAAAGATGCTCAGCTCAATGTTGGTCCTTTTATTTAGGTTTTGAAATAGAGATTACAAAACCTCAGTTTGAGGCATCTGGCAGTCTTAGTGAATGCAGTATTGCCTTCATGATCAGCTACCGTTGCAGGGCACTCTCATTGATACTCTTTGCCATCATCTTCTCTGTGGTAGTATCTTATAGCACCAGTGGCTTTTCACAGCCCTTCTAAACCCACTCTGAATTTGCACTTTCATGGGACTAATGCAAATGGTACAATGCTGATGATGTGATGTGTCTTTCTTTGTGTAGGCCCCTCTATCCATTTATGACCATTTGGTGGTGCTACCCATTTATGAAAAACTGCCTTGTTTTGCCTTAACACTGTGTCACACCCACCTACTGTTCTGCTGTCACCAACTAGCCACTATCCAAGATAAAATAGTGATTGTGAGCAAAAGGAATGGGATAAGTGTACTAGAACAGAGACTTTCTTCAATTTTATTTTTGAGTTATTAGAGACCAGGAAATTTGATAAATCGTGAGTCTACCTTTTTGCAAAATATAGCAAAGCAAATTTTAGAAGAGATGGAAATTCAGTAACTGAGAATGAACACAAACATAACCATGCAGCCATTTTAATTCCACTTATAAAAGAACACAATCATTAATAACTTGAAACATCTCATGCAGTATGCATTATTCTCATGTGCTTCTACTCACAGCATTGTCTTTGTGGGCAGTCATTAAATGGTCTGGTGCAGCAGAATTACAAAGAGAAAATATGCTGTGGCTGCTAAGAAGAGAAAAATACTCCAGAGAGGATGTTGTTACCACAACTATCATAAGAACCTGATGCTTGCTTAAAAGAATAACTAAAGGTGTTGCCGAGGAGCAGACACTAATGAAGAAGTCTGATACCTACTTAGCAGTTAGAAATCAGCACATCTGTTGACATCTATAGACTTATGGCAATGTACACCACATGGCCCATAACATATACATTGCTTGATTTCATCATAATATTCATGAGCTTACAGAGTACACCCCAAGCATGCTCCTGCCAAGGACAAAAAAAAATGTTTTTCTTCAAACAACTAATTATTGTAATTCAAGGATGCATCATTCCTGGAATGCAATTATTTACAGGTGATTAATAGGATAATTATAACCTATTATCTGCCCCCTTCACTTTTACAAATAATGGTATATAGTACAACCCTGGTTTAAAAACATTGGCAAAATTCTTCTGTTTCTAAACACCACACATGTAATTGAACTCAAATTAGAAAGGTTGGGAAAGGCCTTTGTAAGGTACTCTGCAGTTTGTCAGATGTATTTATTCATGTGCTGAGGAGAATTGATAAACATTTTGCAGGGTTTTTTAAAACTTTTGTTTTGTTGGTTTTGGCCGGGACTTGTCAATACAGAAATTCACTGCTTCATATGTTCTATTACCAGCAGAATAACATTTTTTAAAAAGAGTAATAGTAAAACCTGCCACAACTTCCAGCTTTCATGGACAGCTGGTCTGATACATAGAAGTAACATCAAACTTACAAGTGCAAAATGATTTATTTTCTTAATTTGTCTCTGAATACCAAGAAGGAAAACAGGTTGACATCCAAGATAGACATATTTTGATCTTATTTATATGTGGCCTGTAGTACAATGATCTGTTTAGCAACCTAACTTCTTACTCTTAACAAATGCAACTGGAGCCACTAGGAAAAGAAAACACTATCAAGTTAATGTTTTTTAAATAGTTTTAGTATGGCACAGGAAATTCCTGCATACAGTTGTTGATTTTGAAGACTAACCAAAAAAACTATTAAAAGATCTCTTTCTTGCAAGAGATCAGAATTTAAATGAGCTGTCAGCCCCATCTATACTTCTGAGGTCCATACTTCCGAGAAACATCCGATTATAATTGTTGGTTTTCACTGATCGGAGGCACTTACATTCTAAATTTTTTTTTTCTAAGACACAGCTCCCTAAATAGAGGTTCCTAGTGCCTGGATACCTTAAGGTAGCCAGGACATCAGCACAGGACTCCTAATATAACACAGAACTTGCAGGAGATGCATACCTTTTCTGAGCAGCAACTGAAAATCAGGCAAGACACCATATAGTATCTAAAATTTCTGTCTGGTTTGTTTGCATGAATCTCTCCTTAAACGATGAGAAATATAAAAAGGAAATTCGAGAAGTAAAGGTAAGGATAAATTTTATAAAGACAAAATTAATTAGAAAGTTATACATATACAATTTCTTTTAAAAAAAGTATTTCAAGATTTTAGGTTTCCTTATCTATGCATCTGTGTAGAAGCAGAAAATTTCCATGTCACACTGAGAAGAATCCATTTGACCATTTGCAAAGCTAATTGGGAGCACTGTAGGTTATCTCCTTGGAAGGAAATCTTCCGAAGAGTTGAGAAGAGATTAAGTAGCTGTATCCCCTTGAAATCTAGAATAAAAACATGGAAATCCTTCCGGAGAGTAAAAAGGCAGGATGAACATCAGTTGCTTTAAAATATCCCTAAATTTTCTCAACATGATTTGAGAACTTGTCCATTAAAAAAGTATCTGTCAAAACAAAGAAAATGATTGATTCAGATAATTAGGACAGGGACACTGTTTATAGGCCTAAGCATTTCTGAGATTATGATATACTCCTATGCTTAAAAATTCTTCTACATTTTTTCAGAGATCAGTCGTACAGTTTCTAATACTTCTTTTTCGCATATATTACTTCAATTAAGAAAATCATTAAATGTTAGGTTTTGTAAGTTATTCCAAGAAGTGTGTGAAAATTGGGTTTAATATCAAGATGCTTCCCAAAAATCTTTGGTATGGAGAATGGAAATTCCACACTATTTTGCCCATCCTAGCTTCGGTGCTATAAAGACCACTGCTTTATTTTTCAGTGTCAGGTGGTGGTGACTATGGCTGCTCTATACATGCAAGGATAGGTTCTGGTTTCTTTCCTCCACATTACTTTTGAAGAGACACTACTTGGATTTAAAAAGCCCTCAGGGATAAGCTTTCTTTGAGTTCAGTATCCTAAATCCTGCAGATTATTTCCATCATAATTGTGTTCAGCTGGGGGTTCTTCTGCAGCCAGAAACAGTAAGGAAGGCTTCCTTCAGGCACGAAACTTTTTGAATCAAAATCTAAAGATATAGTTCTTCCTTCATCACATCCCTTTTCAATCAGCCAGATGAGGTATTTCCATGGGACACAGAAGTCAGTTTAATATCATGGTCTATCTGATCTGCATACAGGTTTGGGCATTGTCTCTTAACTCTATGTGGTACAGTAGTTTGCTGTGGCCTGTAACAAGTGATAATTACTCGCAGATGGGGTCATGCTCCTCTTTGCATAAAGGAAACAGAGAAGTGCAGTCCACAGTGTGCTCTGCCCAGCGGGACCCTGCAACAAAGGCACAGAGAGGATGCATGTCTGCTCTCATTGACTGTGGCGGCCAAGGCTGAATTTGGCCCTAAGTGCAAAAACATTTTTAAGTGACTAAATTTAACATCTTCTAGTAAATACTCTTCTGGCTTGAATTTCAGTCTGAAGCAGAATTTCACAAAACATTGTGATTGGTTGGCTCCCAAGCATGCTTGAAAACTTATCCTGGACAATTTTCCTGCAGGGTGTGAAGTATGTGCTTCTTTCTTGCAATCTGTTGAGCTAGCATTTAGGAGGAGATTGTAATTTAAGTGGAAAGCTTGTACTCTGCAGCTTTCCTGTTGATGATGAAAAGTTGGCATTTTCTCCTTTGTGGAATTCGGTGTGAATCTGGGGTTGCTTGCCAGCTAGGCAGTGAGCTCTGCCAAGAGGGCCTGGCCTGCGTTAAAAGGGGTTATTTGCCAGAACAGGTAAGCATTTCTCTCTCCAAAATTGAAATATTCATGAAAGTGAATACAGCCTGAGATCACTTTAGATTGCTTGGTAAACTTGGTCACAATCTCACACCCTCATTGTTAATCTGAAAATAATTAACACTGAGTCGAAGCCACCTTTCAACTGCTGCTTGCACAAACCAAGTCCAGAAACTGGTCCAGAAATAAATAGATAGGGTAGGAAACTGGAGCAATGTATGTGCCAGAGGTCAGCATGGTGACATCAAAGTCCACAAGGTGGGCAGCGTTAGTCAGGAAGTAGTTTGGTCAAGGAATCAGAGAATATTCTATACCAAAGTTACCTAATTCCTAGGCATCCCTTGGTTTTCAGAGACTGGTAGGTGCTAATGACCCTTTGTGTCTTTGAACTTATTCCTTACTGAAATCTGACTTATGTGCCATGTTGTGACAGTAGATCACAAAAATACCTTCCGGAAGTGCTTATATATAAACAGAAAGTGAATAAACTTTCAGAAGATTGTTAATAGAAGAACAGAGAGGACCTGTGAGATCTTTGAACTTAGTCCTCTGTAATCATAGGTTACCCTAAAAGCAATGAAGTCCAGTCTTTGTGCTGATATGCTTCTTGCACAGTGCACCAGGAAAGAGAGGTTCTAATGCTTCCCCCTGCAACTTAGGCATCCCTGAGGAGCCTGCCTGTCTTCTCCCCTTCCTCTGCTTATGTCAGGACTTTGCATGCTCCTTATGTTATGCTTGCAATTGCCTCACTCATCAGTTAGCTCTAACTACACAACAGTCTTCAGTGACGCTAATCTCGGTACTTTAAAACATGACAGCGTTAAGGACAATACAGATGTTGATAGAATTTCCAACTCAGTACAGAATGTTGCAGTTTCAGATTCTCTCCAGGTTCCCGAGGATCAATTCATATCACTTTCTGGGCACATGAAATTTCCACCATTAATTCCTTCTTCAAACATTTGTTGGTATGCCTCTAGCAGACTTGGCAGCCCAAGTGATTTTTGCCCATTTACATTGTTTTTCCTACTTTGAAAATGATTGGTTGACACAGTTTCTACTTTCATCTGCTGCTTTAGTCACAAAAGCCTAATTCAGCCATGTGAAAACTTAGAAAATGTGACCCTTTATGTCTGGTCCAAACAGTCTTTCCAGTGGTTTGGTTACTTCTGCAGAATTGAGCTGTTCTCTGAAAGATTTCTTTCCTGACAGTGTATTTCCAGTACTCTTTTCAGCTTCCTTTTTGTTAGCCGCCAAATTTAATAGACTTCATGATCTGAATGCCAGTAAGTGTAGGAGGGAAGGTGATGGTGCCATATATGCCAGGTGTAGAGTAATTTCTTTTGTTCACTGTTGGGTCTAACTGCTGATATTTTCCAGGGACACCCCTGTGTCTATACAGTCATATCCAACCAGTGGACAGCTGCCAGCAGAAATCATTCTTTCAAATACAGTCTCATTTCACAGTGTATAGAAATAACTGCCATAAGTCACTGGCTTTATTTCTATGGTGGTTTGGTAATGGTACTGCATTTTGGGCTGAACAGGATATATGATGTAATGATCTTACTTGTGGTGCCTGATAAGGTTTCCGTTATATGGAAGAGGATCCAAGGTCTGTCTGGCTATCACTGGGTGAGGAAGCAGAATAGTTCTGGAGCAAAAGCTCATCTTGGCATACAAAATGAAAGTTTTGTGGAAAAAAGCGTTAAGGAAATGATCAAACATGACTCTTATGCTCACATGACCTATAGATCTGTTCATAAAGCTAAAAGATGGAGTAAGGATTGGGATAGTTGTTATACATCTTTTCTTCTTGTCTTTAATGATTTATCATCTTATCCTGATTTCTAAACATACATCTGCCATTTCTAAACATTAACCTGATATGTCTAAATATTCAAATGCAGCCTACTTGTTAAAGAATTTATTCTGTACTGATTAAAGAGGTTTTATTGATATATTAAGAAAAAACAAGACTTTTTTTTTTTGGCTCCTACAAAAATCCAGCTCTGAACACAACAAAATATTCACCTTTTACTAGGATATTACTTCTAGCTATCTCTACATCAGTTGCTCCCAGCATAATAATCTCAAGGTACACAAAGGACAAAGTAAAACACAGGTTTCTCACATCTTGCAGTCTGGCAATTACATACTTTATACTGTTATTCATACTGTTATAGCCCAGGGCTATTTTGTCCTACTTCAGGGGAGTGAATTGATCTTCAAAGACTTAGGAATTAGGAAATTCTCAAAACAGAAGCTTAAGCTACAGTTTGCTTCCTCTTCTGTGTTCCTGCACCCAGTATGACCAAACAAACCTTCAGATTTTGTCCTTATCCTAACCAAAGGATAGATTGCTTTAAACAGAAAATAAGTGATAAAAGCAAGTTCTATTCATCTATGTAGCCCAAAGTGTGTATTATTAAGACTATTTTATGGATTATTGTTCTAAGATCTGTTGAGCTTGGTCTGTTGGTGGGCATTTTCATACACAGTTTTGCCCGAGGTACCTGCAAGAGTTACCATAGAATAACCTACAAAGATTGTGATGAAAATGTGCTTTAAGAATTGTAAATATATCTGTAAATATTATATCTATTGTAATAGCTCTTTCTCTTCTAATCTATGATACATATTAGATAGCAACAAACTTCCTTTGCTGTTTGACTTCTTTGGTAGACCCAATCAGGTCCTTCCGGCACTTCTCTGCACACTTGCTCACTGCACAGAATGGAGTGATTTATGTTATTTGAAAACAAAACATAGTGCTATTGTTTCTAGCCACAAGAAAATCTTCCAGCTGTGATCCCATAGTGGATTCTAAGGAAATAATGACATGAACTACTCTATTTATTTTAGTTACCAAGACTCCAAAATACTGGTGATATTTGCAATGTCTTTATCACTGACAGGCATTCACTATTGATTGCAATGGTAGGATTCCAGAAGTTCTGGGATTTGTAGCTAAGCTTGCTTAAAATAGAATCATTAAAGGAGTATCTACACTGCAGTTGCTTCCCACTTTGTGTATTTTGATCAAAGCTGATTTTATCTAGTTGGTGGGTAGTAATCCAACGGTAGTAACCTGAAGGATAATATGTTGGTTACTGAACTATTAACTTCACAGAGGAAGATCCTTGGGTGGGCTTCACTTGACCTAGTTTAGAGTAGACCTAGGCATGCTTAAGAAAGGAGTTCCGTCTGCATTACAGATGTCTCTTGTGGTTGAACTTCCTTAGCTTTAGAGAGGAGAGATTGGTATTGATATTGCTCTTCCTTGTCCACCTTGACACAGTTGGTATTCCTGTTCCAGTCTGCAGACGCTGCAGTGAAGAGGAAAAACTGGCTGGACTCTAAGCATAGGTCAAGGGGAATATAGATATTACAGTATAAAATGAGGCATTTAGCCCACACAATCTTTTACCCTCTTTCTGGGAGAAAATGTATGGAAGGTGGACAAAAAAGCACATGTGGATGAATTTCAATATATAGTTTGCTTGGTATATTTATCCATTGCAGGGCAGAAGTAACTGTGCAGTAAGTAAAAACTTTGTTCTGCAAATATGCTATGATGCAGCCCTGCTCAAAGCATACAGAATTAAATCTGTCTAATTAAAATACAGCCCACTCTATTTTTTAGAGAACTCTTACTGATGATCTGCATAACCATTATTTAGCTACTGCTTTATTTGAAATTAATGCAAAACTAGTAAAAGCAGCTGTGTTTTATGTTTCCTCCTATAAATCTTAAAATGTGTGAGATGGCTAGATGTAATAACACCAGAAAAATTAAGATAATAGAGTGCACGCTTTGGTTACAGTGTGGCTTCAGCAAGGGTTTGTTTGGAGTGCCCAGCTGCGTATACACATGCAGTGGAATTTGGTTTGTGAGGAACCTAAAAAAATTACATAAATAACTAGCATTTTTTTAATGAATAATACACAGACATGCACCTGTTTCAGAGACTCCATAGATTAGTCTTGCAGCCAATAGAAAAGCCCCTTGGAATTCAATTACATGGCTGGAAAACAGAAAACAAAATCATGGCTATACATTTAGAACTGATACCAGCAAAATGTTAACCAGTTCTTGGGCTGAGCTTTTTCTAAGGATTAGGTTGTTCCAATTTGTTTTACTTCCCTGTGGCTTATTGAAAACTTATGTTATTCTATTCTGTTCTTGCAGCTGGAGCCTCTCCCGGAAGATATTGTGCACCAAATCCCCAATATGAATGCAATAGCTTCTTTAAAAAAGACCACTGAAATTCAAAGTATGTTTCTCAGTTTGGGTTGGAGGGTTGGTGGGTTTGGGATATTTCTGATTATTAGTTAATATCATAGACATTAACCTATTGGTTCAAAGAAAACAGTGGGCAAATTTTTTATGTATAAATGAACATTCTGTGTCTAGTTATGTATATATGTTTTTATTTTTGTTTCTTCGACATCTCTTTGTTCCTGCTGTATGTTTAGCCCTGACAAACTAACCATATGAAATTATTTAGAGCTTTCTGATTCCTGAATATTCCCAAATCTTTCCAGTCCAGAGTACCTTGTATGAACTAGATGTTTGTCAGTGAGGGGCAGGAACCGACAGGTAAATTAGAGCTCTAAAAAAATAGTTTCTACAGATTCTGTGCAACATCCCCCAAGTTACTCACTTTGAGATGTATAAGAGCTTGAAATAAAGTTAAAAACTCAAAATGGGCACTAATTCCGTAAAACGGTGCTAACAAATACATGGCTTTCTTTAGTTTCTGATGCAGCTGGTACTTGATCATTTCACTTGTGGGCCCTGACACCAACCCTTTACTAGCCAGATGTTTTAGGGCATTTGCTCTGGTCCTACTGAAAAATTTTCTCTGCCATCAGCTTCTTTAATCTAACTGAGCAGGCTTCCCTTAAATTCCCTAATCTTCTACTCTCTGCCATTTTACTGAGGCAGTCGAAGCTTCCTGACTTCTGCTGTTTGCTGACTCCTTAACAATAACAAATGGATAACAAACGTTCTCTTCATCTTAGATGAATCACAAATAATTAGGATTCAACTACATGAAAGAAATGCAGTTTTTAAAAGGGACACCATGCATTTTCCACTGATCAGGCAGTATTCAAACTGATTTGAATTGTAAAGTGACAAAGGAAATTTACTGTAGGTATGTAATTCATCTTTCACATCCAGTAGCCACCTGGATATGCAAGTGTTCTGAATAAATCACCTCTACATGATAAATTCCAGTCAGTCATTTTTGCTGGGTGGTATGTCCTAAAGTAGCTCATGAGTTAGTGTCTTGCTTAAAATTCCCTGTTAATAATCTGTTAATTATATGGGAGAAACCACCAAATTAAGGAAATCCATATACTATGCAAATGGTAGTAAGGACAGCAAGCTGCACACAGACCACAGACATGAGGAAACGATATGCAATTTTGTTTGATATAAAGCAGGTATTTAATTAAAAATGGATCAGTAAAAAAAAAAAGGGTTCATTGAGAAAAAAAAAATAAGGTAAGCTCTAGAAAGGCATAGTCTCTTACTAGAAATACACACCAAGGAATTCCTTCCTTCACAGAAAGAAGGAATAGTTTTAGGAACTATATAAGTTTATGTCTAAAAACATAGTTCAGAGCTCCTGAAGAGGGGCTTAATTTTGCCACACATTGGTTTGAGGTGAACTGGTACAGTCATGGCAGTCCAGTGGGATGAAACCTAGGTTGATCTGCTCAGGTTTGGAGTTATTTATACACAATACTCTCTCTTTTCTTGCAGTTATTACTTTAAAAGTTATGCATACCTCATTTTGTCTGGGGAGACCAAATATTAGAAAGGAATATGCTTGGATGACAGAAAGGAGCACTGAGGATGTTCAGGACAGCTTTATGTAGAACACCTATTTAGATGGAATTAAGAGAAGAAAGTATATGTTGAATATTATAGGGAGTTGTTAATGCTGAAAAGCATTAAGCTGTCAAGCACCACCTCAAGAGATACTGAGAAAGCTTGATTTGTTTGGATGATTGTTTGCATGTGTATAGGGTCTGTATGTCTGTGATTCAACTTTCATAACAGAGATTAGCAATATTTTAGACAAAACCAAAAGTCCCTCTTCTTTGTTTGTTGCAAAGATACAATACTTACTTAGACAATGAGAGGAAAAAACTTTTTTTTCTAGCTAGACAGTGATCCAAAAGTCCTTTGGAAATGTAATATATTTGGAAGTAACAGTTCCCACACCCATGTAATATGCTATTTCTAAGCAATCCTGTTCATTGGCTTGAATACCACCCCCAAGTGTGGGCTTTTTTTCAAGGAAGCCATGGTATAGCATGCCCAAATCGATCTGTGAAAAGCAGTTACAAATGCTTGTAACAGTGACAGAGACATTCATTTTTATTATTTCTTGGTAATAATCAGTGGTTTCACAAATCTTTGAGGGAGTCTTAAGCACATTTTCATGCTGAAAGCCAGAGCATACCTAGAAGACTGATTTGGTTTCATTGTTTATTCTTGCAAGCCGTGATTGCTCAAGTTTTGTGTGAATGAAACCAGCAGCATGCTTCATTCTTGCCCCTGAGCTCCACCAAGTTCTTCTCAATGAATGTAACAGGACTGGTAGAATTTCACATTCCAGTATGGCACAGTAGAAACGGCATTTTCAGAGATGTGAGCACTTTGAGGCATATGCTTTTTGAGTTCATTTAATTGCCAATCTGTAGCATACCTAAAGTTTCTAACAAAGATTCTTTGCAGCCTCATGCTGTGATTGTCTGTTCCACAAAACTCTGCCTGCAAGTCTTTTGGCTTAACATGCATGCAAGTCCTGTATGTTTGCATACAACATGTAAATATTGTCTTGAATAAAAAGAAACTTGCAAAGCTGCTCTGATTACCAGAGGTGTTTGTAAAGTACAGGTTTAGAATCATAGAATAGATCATAGATCATAGAATCTGATTTCCTGATTTTAAATTAAAACCAACCATTGCTTTTTCACAAGCATCAGAATGCCCTCTTTGCATGAGGTATTCACTGCTACCTGGATGCAATTACTAACTGGAACAGCTTTAAAATTTTCTTCCACAAACCACAAACACCCTACCATGTACTCCCCTTCTCCAAGACCCTCCACTGCGGCATAGGTGCTGCCACCTGCTTCCTGGCCTGACTCTGCTTTCCTTTTCTACCACTGAAATCCTTCTCATAATACAATTATCAATGCAGGGAAACAAGGAAAATCATCGATTGCTTGGGTGTGATTGGTAGTTAAATGGGCACAGAGAGCCCACTAATATGCTTGAACTGGTGCTGACTTTTAGTGTTACAAGAAAGTTAGGATTCAGGGGGCAGCTGGTATGCGAGCCTGTGTGTGAATGAACTAATGTGATGTAGCAATCCTCACTGATGCCATTTTATTGTTGCTGCAGGACGGCAACACAGTGGTAGCTGAGTACTGATATTTTATTTTATGAATAAGAGCCCTTGAAAACTCCAGCAGTGAACATGGGTTCATTTCTTTTATAGGCAAGAGGGGGTATTATTCCCATGCCAACAGATTTGATTTTCTTGCACATCTGTTTCTGCAACAAAAACCCCACCCACTTTGCAGACATTTAGCTCATAAATTATAGGGTTTGAATTGGGTGTGTATTGCAAAGACTGGCTTTTGCACATATGATCTGTGAGAACATTGTGGAATGCTCGTATAATTTTTTGCTTAGTTTTGGTGTATTTTTTTAAAGAATAGAGAATATGGTCACTCAGCAAGCTAATAATAGAACATTTTTGTATTGTTTTTACAAAATTTGCCAGGCTCCAATCATTGAGCCTACTGTTACGTATGTAACATTTAGCTGCGTCTTTCATGCTTTTGGAACAAAGCCAACCTCCTAACACTTAATCTCAACTTTGTAGGATACTTAATGAACTTTACATTTTATCCCCAGAAGGTCCCTGTTATTTAAAGGTTCTGCTAACTACTCAAATATGCAGACTATTACAGTTCAAAGAAACACACTGGCCATGGTCACTGCTTGTTCTTGCAGGCTGACTTGGGCTTTCATCTTGCAATGATGTTTTTGAATAAAGACATTTTCAGGCTTTATCGACAGCTGCTTTCTCACTGGAGGGAAAAGTCCACCTTTTGAAAAGCCTGAAACTGTATTGAGAGCTGTGTTACCAAAGAGGGAGTTTTCATCAGCCTTTGTGCAACACAGGCAGCACCAAAGCTGTCCTGGCCTCCCAGCTGTCAAAGCCTCCAGCTACCCTCTGGATAAGCACCTCAACTGAGCCCGCTGCTCAACTGCCAAAATCCTCCTGGCCCTTGGAAAAGTCCTCTACTTGATCCCCTCTCTTTCACAGTTGTTGAAACCCTCTATCTAATTCCCAGATAAGTACCCCGATTCAACCTCTGCAGCTGCTGGAAGCTTCTTGCTAAACACTGAATAAGCTCTGGTCCAGAGCTCCCTGCCTTCCCAGTTCTCCAAATTTCCAGGTGTCATCCACCTGACAATTAGTGAGAGCTCGATGGATTACTGGACTGTAAGAAATACACATGTAAATTCCTAGTTGTTCACCTGGTTCCCACTAATCAACCTGTTTCCTAGTTGCACTGCAGTAGCAGACCATTTTATATGTGGACCATGAGTTACTTGCCATTGTTTGAGTTGCTTGAGAAGCTTCTTACTGTCTCTTCTCTTGCAGGCAGAAAGCTGAGAATACTCAGGCTTTTAAGCCAATGCTGTGTTTTTACACAGCAAACCAGAAAGCTCTATTCCTTATGACATCTAGAAGCTTTTCAGCAGCAGCCAGTTCATATATAAAAGTTTTAAATAAATTATTGTTCTAGTATACGCCCTGAGGTTGGAGGAGAAAGAACATCCAGGACTAACAAACCTGATTGTTCTGGCAACATCACTCCAGTCTGAGCTGGCATTTCTGACTTTTTTCCTCTTCAAGACACTGCTCTGTGAGCACTTTGTACAACAATGTTAATTTTTCTAGCCCTATTTGCTATATATGCATCAACTGTCTGCCATATCAGAGCTTCTAGGTATTAACCCTGCCCTGAACTCCCTTCACCTTGTGCAGATAAAGCCAATAACCTGTCTAACAGTATGTGATCATTAGTCTGTGTGTTACTCCTCCAGTTTATTACCTTCTGGGGAAGGTTGTGACACAGCCCTTGGAATGAAAGCACTTTCCAACTTGGCATTCTTAGGTTCAGAAATACACCTCCTCACTGCAGTCTGAAATTTCAACTGTACCACAGTGATTTTAAATTGTAATCACTCAGTGTTGAACTAAGTGATTACTATGCTTGTACCACCATGCTAGCTAAAATTCCAATGAATTATTATGTGTGTTTTCCTTAGGCAAGTACTGGAAGTCAGTGGAGCCATACTCTGTGCCAGTGGATTGTGCTCTGGCTGAGTCTCAGAAACGAGAGAGGGAGGAGACAGAAACGGTATCTGCTATGGCTTCTCTTTCAGTGGATGTTCAGCAGTGTATCCCTCAGGAAAGCAGCAGGTAAGTGTATGCAATTACTGTAGAGAGCAAGCCTTTCGTTCTAGGCAAATGAGGTGAAGAAGACAGCCAGATTAAAGGTTGTTCCAAACTTAACTGCTAATTGAGCTACCTGTAAGTTTTCATCTGATTTGAGCTCTCTCACTTGACCACTGAAAGCAGAGATATTCTATGCTAGCAGATATTTTCTGTCATGTGTCATTTTTTAGTAAGGTTCATGATTAGTGCAAGAACCTTGTTTTCTCCCTGTGTCTAATGCTCTCTAGTACACAAAAAGTGTAATATCCATATGAAGAAAATAGACATGATCAAGTGTAACTAACCATATTCTTCTCATTGGAGGCTATTCAAAACTGTTCTAATTTTCTAGGAAGGCATTTAACACACATTCAGATAAATTTAATAAGGATGGACTTAAATCGTTATTAAATAATATTAGACATGCATTAAAAGTTATTTCCCTGGAAGCAATGGAAAGGTGCCAGTATAGAACTTAAAGCAATCCTGACAAGGATTAGGGCCAGCATTTTCCATGTATCAAAATGAAGGTACACCAGCAAAGAGTGAGAATGCTGTTTTTTTTCCAGCTTGTCAGCCACATTTTACATTAATGAAGATTGCATTCAATTTCACAATTTGAGAAAATGATACAGCAATTGCTGTTGTGGTTTTTTGCCAGTAAGATATTTTAAAAAATAAAAAAAGATAGACACCCAATACTGTGTCATTAAAAAACAGTATTTCTTCAAAGAGCTGTTACGAAACAGGCTACTGCAGAAGTTCTTGGAGTTTCCTATTTACTTGTTTTAAGGACAAAGTTCCCTGGCCCTCACCAGTAGAGGAAGACCCAAAATGCAGTGGAACCATTTGGTTTCCATCACCCAGAGAAAACAGGGGAGGGAGGAGGAAAGGAGAAAAAAACCTTATAAGGAGACTCATCAGCTCCCTGCAGACTGCAGAGCAGAGCTGTGCAACACCAGGAGAGAAAGGAGGGAGCTCTGGGTAGGCAGTGGTAGGAACGGAGCCAGAAAGATGCATTTTTCCTACATTGTGACAGCTACTTGTTTGATTTGGCTCTTAACCTCCTTCATTGGCTCTTTAATCAGAACTGACCTGATAGGCATGCAGGGAACTTCAATGGTGCTAAAAACTATGGCTGAGTTTGGGACTGAACATCTTTCACAACAGTGGGAGCACTCATCTGTCAATGAGTTAACAGACACAGCTCAAAGCGACACACAGGGAGCACAGATAGCTAGTGAAGTATTTGCATAATTACCTTTCCAATTGTAATTAGATTTTAATATGCTATGGCTATTGTTGTGCTGATACTATTGCAAACAAATCCATAAAAGCTTAGCGAAGAATCCATGACAAGTGGAGACATATTTTAGTTTTGTGAGAGGGTTAATCAGTGCTCAGCTAAGTAAAACCTACATTTTCTTATATATATTTATGACAGTTATGAGACAGAAAGGTGCCTGCTCTTGTGTGTGTAGCACTAAAAGATAAAGATTTTTCGTTCAAGTATTGGAACTAATGCAGTCAAACAAAGTAAAGCTTTAAATTTTTCTGTGTAAGGGTGTGGTTAATTTTGTGTATTTTCACATTGCTCAGAATAACCAAGAATTGTATTTGTTATGTGCCTTCACTCAAAACTACAGCCATTGAAAGTAACTGCTGGTCCTACATGATTTGAAGAAAATAACCCTTTGGCTAACACTATACTTAATTATTGTATTTATTACCTACCTAATGATAACCTGTGACAGTTTCCATCCATTCTGAAAATAGCATTTCAGGGCAGAGCTGAGAGAAATTAAAAAAAAAAAACAACCCAAAACCAGATGCACTGAAATGTACACAAGTGGAATTCATGTGGCTGCCAGATTCAGTACACTTCATCAGTTCTGGACTCTTATAGGGACCAATCTGTCATCATTAATTGTTCTGTGGAAAAATGCCTGCCTTTGAAATATCTTCTGTGGTACTGCTGAGATTTTTTAGCAGCTCAAAAAAAACCCCCTATGCACACATGCTTTCCTAAGTCTGTTTCCACATTTGTAACCCACAAAGAAGTCACCCAAAGCCAGATTGCCATCAGACAGGACAACATAAGTGCTGTCCCAGTGGACCAAAATTGATGGTTAGGTTTTCTGAGGCTTCAGGACATCATTCTCTTTGTTATCTTTCTGCTGAATGTAAGGAGGAACATGAAATAAAATATGGGCACTTCGAAAGTCTGATTTTGAGGGTCCTCTGAGCTGCTGGGAGACCTGAGAGGACCTGGCTGCACTTTGAGCATGAATGTAAGTCCAGCATGGGATCATAAATCCAGGGTCTGATTCCACATTGCACACTCTGGTTTCATGCCAGTATAATTTCATTCATTTCACAAAAACAGGCTGTTAATTTCATAGGCACATACCAATGCAAACTGCAGCAATGTAGTGTTGGTTCCAACTCTACATTTTCCTATTTGTTGTGTTTGTTGTAATTCAGGACCAAGTATGCACTGCTCCTTCTCCAGCGTTTTTCTGTGGCAAACTACCAGGCTGCAGTTATGTAAGAGCTCATCTGGGCTCTCAAGCCATCTTAATACGGCCACTGTAGGTGTACCCTCCTTTCCCCATTGTAGATGTGGGCCACCTTCTGAAGACCTGTTGCAAGCTTTTGCATTGACTGTTTGTTTGGGAAAGTTGGTTGTGACAGGAAGGGTGGGATCAGAGCAGAAAGTACCATGGCTGACAGGGCGGGCTGAAGGCTTCCTTCATTATGCCAGGAGCCAATTTACTTTCTTTAAATTCCCACCATGGTCAGCCAGGCTGATAATTCTGGCCTGCATCTCTAACACTGTTTCACTGAACACAGGTAGATATCCTGTTGACTTCAGCTTGAGATGGTCAGTCCTCCAGATGAAGAGAGCGGCAACAAGAGTCTCCGGGGAAAACTCTTGCTACTTATGTTGGAGGATATACTGGTGACTGGAGTGAGATGACTCACTTTAAACTAAGATTTTGGGTATTTTGCTGGCCAACTCATATCTGACTCATTTACCACTGATGAATAAATGATAAAATGCTCCTCGCTAAGGCCCATCTTAAGTATTTCTCCTTCTTCCTTCTTTCTTTCTTTTCTTGAAGTGACAGTGGCGATTATTTTTTATTTGATTTTCTCTGGCATGCTAAATGAAGAAAACTGTGAAAAGCTGCTGCACTTTCATTTTACCAAAGCAGAGCTCTGCATTTTAACGTCTGATTGAAACTTGATTATAGACTTCAGAAGAAAACAGATATAGAAAAAAGTTTGTGGATAGGAAAGAAAACATGCATGATGCTAGCACAGATTTAAATACAGATGCAATTAAAGGAACAGGCATGCCCTATAAAACATTTCTAGCTACCATAACCTTTGTGTGTTGATAACTCCTTATTCCCTATATGAGATACGGATTTAGCTGATTAGAATTTTGCTTTGGCCAGACATCTGTTTCAGAAATCACGCTATGAAAATATTCAGTACAGTGCTGTCCCTGATACATGGGAGCTTCTGTATGTTTCTTCTTAAAATAAAAAAAATAAAAGGGTGTGGAGGGATATATCTTGCGCTTACTATTTTTACAGCAAACAGTAAATTTTGAGAATGACATCTATCAGAATTTGACTTTATAGCCCTTGTTCAGATAGAGATTTTATTCAAATTGAAATGAAAACAAAGTGCAATTTTTAGATATTACTGTTACAGAGCTACCAGTTGCAGTTTCAATCACATTGCATTATATTACATACATTATATTACTCTATACCAGAGCAACTGGTTGGACCTTGGGGAACAGCTAGCCACCATCAGGATCTCGTGTTGTGTTTGTGTATCAAGTCATAGAGCTTCTCTTAACATTTAGCTATTTGGGTATCCACTTTAGCTGTGCTGTGTAACCTGCACCTACCTGGTGCATACCCAACAGAATCTGAAGTCAGAGCCAGGATCAGTTGCCAAAGAACAAGGTTCCCCAGGTCAGGCTGCAGACCTGTCTTGCCCAGCTTCCTCTCATCCCCCAGGTGGGGTAGTGAATAAGGAAGAGAACTGGGAGCAGAGGAGTTTGAGAACAGGCCTTGTCCTAATGGGTTGGTAGGTCTCAACAGCTGTATCTGACCCATGTCATTTAAAGCTTCCAGGATACCTACCCAGGCATAAACTTCTCAAAGGTTTTTTAAACTAGCTTACACCTGTGGTACTTAGGTAGTGGATCCCACAGACTCATCAGGCATTGCTCTAAATTTATAACCAGCAAATTCACTGGGAATCCCTAGTTCTTACAGCAGTATTCTTACTCATAGTCTCCGCCCCATTTCTGATTTTAAAGGCTTCAGGTGTCTCAAGACTCTGTATTCTTCATCGTATGAAAATAATTTCTTACCCCTCATGATTTTGTGCCTTTTGTAGTTTTCTTTGAGATGGAGTAGGAACTGCATGCAGGCCTCCAGGTGTTGAACACGCTATCTTAATGTTATTTGTTTTGCTCTCTGCTCTTCTACCATTAATTTCGAGCTCTCAGTCACAGCCACCACTGTGTAAAAACAATTAAATCTGTTCTCCCTCCTATTTTGTGCATTGTGTTTTAGTTTGTGCTAATTTGCTTTCTTTTCCATTCAGAAATGGTGTTAGGGGCTTTAGAACTGACCAGTATTGGTAGTTTGCCATCATCAACAAACATTATCACCTAGAAATACTGACAGTCTGCTAAGCCCTTTTGAGATGCTCTGGAGAATCCCTCCATAGCGAAAAATCACCAATATTATTACCTGTTTCCTACTTTTGATGGATTACCTACCTATGAGAGGGCCTTCTTTCATTACCTAGGTTCCTCAAAGCATTTGGATAAAATAGTTGGAAGGTTTCTTTGTGCAGGGTTATCACTTGATTCCTCTTCTTTCATTTCCTTCAGAAACTTCTGATAAATTTATAAGGTTCACTTTCTTTCCAAGTGTTAAGACCTAACTCTTACCCAAATTACTGTTACCTAAATGCCTAGTAATCACTGATTAAAACTGATTTCCACATACCAGCTTACTGTATCTCCTGCAGTTTCCAAAAAGGGAACTGAATTTATTACTTTCTCTACCTCTTGTATGGATGCAAGGTTAAGCAGTAGAATATGCTCAGTAATTGTTTCTTTAGCAATATCATAATTGCATTCCCCTAGAACACAGTGGACAAATATCATCTGCTTTTAGCAATTTGAAAATGTTTAATATATCAGTTTGTTCTAAGTCCTGATTCAGTTTAAGATTGCTCATCTGCAAACAATAAAGTCTCCCTGACACTTCTCCAGTGAACACAGACAAAAATAGTTCATTTTGCTCTTGTGGTCTACCTTCCTTGATGCTCCTTTTATGCTTTGATCATTTCTTCTGATGTGCTTTGAAAGATCTTTTTATTATTAGTTTTTATGATTTTAACATGTTGCTCTTCAGACTCCTTTTGGCCTGCCTCGTCAAGGGTTTACATTTATCTTGCCAGAGTTTATCATTTATTTACATTGCCTTACTTGGATATTATTTCCTCTTTACAAAGTATATGTGTAGCTACCTTATTCTGGTCTTAAACTATGATCAGTTTTACTTTTAGTTCCTTTTTCTTTGATCCATACAAAGTCTATTTCTACTAGGATATACACTTACTCAGGATCTCTTATGCAATGCCTTTAGGCAGACACTCTGAATCATCTTCATGGTATAGAAATGTACCTCTGTTTCTCTGGCTCTTTGCTACCAGAGGATCACTTTTCAATTACAGTGATCTTCCCTAAAACAGCTGAGTTAAGTTAGGAACAGATTATGGCATAAAATATCCATACCATGCCAGAAAATCTATCTTTTGTTCAGCAGTTTCTGTGGCTTGGAAACATATCTTGAATTTTTATTTTTATGTGTGTGATGATGTAGCTATGAGGAATTTCTGTAACTCTAAAACTAAGGTAAGAGAAACATTTGCTTTTTTGGATTACGTACAGGGTTTATCATAATTCTTAAATATTAATAGTTTTTAAAAGTGCAGATATGAACTATTTGAAATAATATTCTCATAATTAATATGGTTGCTGTTTATTCTCAGCTGCCACAGGATAATACTTAATATGCCACACGTTTTGCCAGATTCTATCCATATGGTAGGATTTTTGTCTCATCCATTTCTTTTGTTTTAAGGTTTAAATGGAATAATTTTGATTAGCATTAACTTCAAACAGAGTATTCCAGTCTGCCATAATTTGAATTGTACATCTAGAGAACTGTAGATGGGTACTGTTTCCAGCACACCAAACTAAGCAAAGCAAAGAGGCCTCAGCTCCTAGGAACTTGCAGTCCAAACGAGCCACAGTGAAGCCTTAATGACGAATCACAGCTGTGTTTCTACAATTATTACAGTCCCAACTGATGTCTTTCTAAATCTGCTGACTGCCCAGAATCAGTCCAAATCAGACCTGAACTCACAGCTGCGCCTTTGAGGAACCAGTTAGAGCATACAGTACAGCATGGGTTTTTTTTGCATGTTTTATGTTTTTATGCCAACTTCTTGTCAGCTACAGAAAGAGTGACTGAACGGATGTAACTAACAGTGACATAACTGAAGTAACATAAATTTGGCCTGTCAGACTCTGCCTCCTCGATTTCTACTGGGTTTTTTTGACAACTTTTGATATCATCAGAATGTTTATATACTGGTTCACTGCTCAAGGTTAGGGGGACTACAGTATTTTTCTCTCTGTACAAATAGGGAAAAATGGGTCTGTTTGGTACTAAGAACCCCAAAACTTTACTGGCTTTCACACAAAACTCTGACATAAGCTGCTATCTCATAAAAATGTATATTTTGAATGATTAGCCTTTGGATAGATTCAGTTACTTCTCTGACATGAATAAAATTAAGTTAAAGCATACGCATAAGTCTTCAAGAGGAGACTGGAGAAGGCTCTTAGAGTTGCCATGCTGAGAGACAACAGCTGGATTCACCAGGGCACCCTAACTTCCTCCTCTTTCTCCATAAAGCACCTTACATCTGCCACTGGCATAAAAAAAATATTCTAATGGTGCTTAGGCTCTGGCTGATGCAGAATATTGGCATATGGTTAGAAAATATTGGAATATATTAGAATATGGCACTTGAGGTCAGTCGTGGCTCTCAGAATTACCCTCATCAGTGAAAAATTACCCAGGACTAAAACCCTGAATAAGATCATCTCTCGATTGTACTAGGGTCACGAGAATGTCAGTCCCAGAAGCCAAATACATGTGAACAGATTGATGCACATACTGCTTCCCTAGATCCTTATAAATAACCCCAAGCCCCACTCTCACTCCAAAGATTTTCCAGAGCTCCAGTCCTTCCTGATCTGCCAATCTCTAATTGAGATCTACTGACAACTATGCCTTCTCATTTGCTTACTCACAGCCCAATTTAGGAGCTGAACTGTTATCTGCTTCCAAATTATCCTCTTTCAATACAGACCCATTAGGTCCTGGATGCTTAGCAGTGGCTTATTGCACATTTGCATTATGCCAGAGGACATGCAGGTCTTCGAAAAGTGGCTGGACAAAGTGGAAGTTTGTGATCAGCACAACAGCAACATACACCATCAGTATGAATCCCCCACATGGTGCATGATACTTTATCAAACCTGAGGACATCAGCAGCAGGCTGGCTGCCATTGTGCCATCTCTGCTGCAAGCCAGAGCAATGTAAGAGGGGTAAAAAGAAATGCAAAAGGGCTTCACCTTGCCTTTCAGGGAGGGAGCTGCAGTGGTTACTGTACATAGGAAACATTCTTCACCATGTGGTAGAGGACCAAAACCTTTGAGATTTATAGACTATTAGTCTTTTAGGGTCAGTAATCCTTTGGAAATTATTAGTCTGAAAATATCTTATTTTTCACATATCATTCATCTGACATATTTTTCAACATACTATCTGTGATCATTCCAAATCATAAAAGAATAACCTCCATAAAATCATTTAAAAACACACTGCTGAATTTTTCATTGGGAAAGACTGTAATAAACTCCAGATTCATTTAGAGTTCTCTGGCTTCCTTGCTGAACAAATTACCAAAGCCCGTGCAAGACCCATTAATTACTTTTTTTTTTTCGTGAGATTTCACGAGTTTGTACTTTCTGAGGGATGTTTTACTAAAGCCAGTTATTATACTGGCTTACAAGTTTTATCCAGTAAATGTCTCATTTATTAATTTGCATTTATTTTTTCTCTACCCTCATTTCAAAATTGCTTGAAGGGACTATTTTTAGGGAGGTCTTCAGCTCATTTGTCATAGGGTATTCTGCCAGACTGAGGTGAAAATTGGTTTATGTCCAAATACTTCCACTCTTCAATAGTGACTGTGATCTCAGGAGCCTCCCATTTTATAACTGCCAGGATAATCTTCGGGTGTGATAGCTTGTCAGATACAAGGAATTATGACACTTTTTTCCAGCTCAGCGTATGTTCCCATTATTTATCTATTGGTGTTTTAAAGAGCTCATCTTACCTAACCTGATTATTACCCAGAGGCTTTCAAACAAAAGATACATGTATAACCCTATTTAATATTCTTAATAGATACCTTCATTATGACAGTGACCTTGCTGATTGAGCTCAGAATTCGGCCCCAGAAATTGCAGGCAGTCAGGCAATGCATTTCTAAATTCTCAGAATCAAAAATCAGAAGGCTGAAGAAGAACCCCAGAGAAAACGTTGCTAACTACTAGACTACTAATAAACTATTTTGTTGTAACTTTTTGCCCACTTGAAAAAAATAAATGCATGTATTTTTAGTTGCAAAAGCTTGTAAAATAAAAGTATCACAGCTATTTTTTCATGAAATTATTTGAGTATGTTGATACAAAGCATGTACATTTCTGGACAAAAGTTATAAAATATTCTGACATATTTTAATATAAACAGGAACATTTTCAGTGATTGCTTGGATCTAAAATGTTTTTCCACTTGACATTTGTTTATACTTCCTAGGAAAGAAACTCTATTTATGGATAACTAAATAACACAAATAAACATCAGAGAGAGCTGAAAAATCAGCTTTGATTATGCATGAAAATCTACAATGTCATTGTGTACTCTTGTGCCGTATTCTGATTGCCTGTTTATTTTTACAGAGCTGCTGGCGAGCCCATGGAAGAAGAGCCAGCCTTCTGAAGTGCCAAGTCCTCCCTGATATTTCCTGTGGGTGACATCATTGTGTATCCCCCCAAAGCACCCTCAGACATGTCTTGTCTGCTGCTTGGGTGGCACAGATCAGATAGAACATAAACACTAGGCACAAAACTGAATAGCAACTTCACTTGTTCTTTGGATGGACTTGAAAGGGCCCTAAAGATTCCTTAAATATAACCGCCACAATTCTAGAGTTACAGCAAAACGGGCTTGGGAGAAAAAGCCTCGAGCATGCTTTTTATATGCTGTTTGACCGGCTCACAACATAAATTGTGAAATAGAGTATTACAAAATTCTACATGATAGATTATAGATACAAGAATTCCAACAGCCAGCAAAGTGCTCGGTGAACCCCATGAATCACTTTCTGACAATTTTTACTGGGTAATTTTTTTCATACTGTGTTAAATTGTTAATAGAATTAGTCTTCTTCGCTCTGTGTAATGAAAGAAAAAAGGACACCTTTATTTTATGAGCCATTTTTTAACCCCCTGCCATGAGTTCTTAGACAAATAAGTGAAAGGTGTGTAAATTACAATGAGGGAATTTAGCTAAAGGGAAAGCAGTTGTTATTGTACTATAAATCCCCTGAATTACTGTGCTTGTTGGTGCTTTACTTTCTTTTCCCTTCTCCCAGGCATCCCTCCCCATTTCATGTAATCTTTTCTATTGTGAAAACACATTCTAAAATGAGTTATCTTCTGCCTTTAAAGAAAAAAAGTGCTGTACCCTCTGTAGTTGACAGTAGCTCTCACCATATGTGCAGCAGAGATCAAGTGTGGATGGCTTTTCAAATGTGTTTTTACTTTGTTCTGAAATCTTTCTGCATCCTGACTCTAAGAGCAGCGATCTTCAGTAACTGCGTGCAGTTCATCTGAAGCTCAGGTGTTTCTGTGGAGGTTGTGTTGAGGGTGTTTTTACAGGTTGTCATGTGGATACAAACTGATTCTTTATATAGTCCTACACTAAGAGAACTGGTGTTGCTTAAGAAGCTTCAAACGGTTTATGCTTTATTTTAGCTCCCCAAAGTGCAGCAAGATCTCCCTGCAAGGTGACTTTAGCTGTTTAATTCCATGTTTGAGAACGTAACATATAGTTGTGCCTTTAGCTGATAATGAACGCTTAAACTGTTACACGTGTTGCCTTACTGTCAGAGAAAGAGATTGGGCATGTATGGAAGACTACTTCAAATGAACAAAATTCTGCTACAGCAACTTTTATTTTGTTTACAACTTTCTCACCTAATGAACCCTTGGAGATACCTTGAAGTATTCAGCTTGCAGTATTTGATAGCTCTCTCAGCTTTTAAAAGCAAATGATGTTCATTTTTATATATTTTCCGAACTCAAAGGATATATTAAAGCCATAAGTGAAGACTGTCATGCTTTTTATTCTGAAATCTGAAAGGAACCTTAATTAAAGCAAGATTTTGGGGAAGGCCATGATATGAAAGATATGGAACAATATGGTTTCATTTATAGGCATACTCAAACCTGTAAATCAAAGATGAAAGATTTCACTCAAATAGAATTATATCATTCTCTTTTGTTATGCAGTCAGACTATACCTTTCATGCATTTGGGTTTGTTTACGATTAGCATTTTAATTTTAAAGACTTTTATTACTTATACAAAAGCTTTCTGCTACAAGTTAGAAATCTGAGGCATGCTTTGAAAAGGGAAATCTAAAAAAAGATTGTCATTTCCTATAATGTGAAGTAAACTTTTATTCTGAAAGGCTTACTCTAAAATGGGTGTATGCCTCTCAGAAAGTGAAATAAAATTCTACCCCCCATTTACAAGCCAAAATCATGCTCATTTTAGTAATGCAAAGAGTCCCAGCAGGCTAAATTGACTCCTGGTGTAAGCCACCTTGCCTGACTTTGGGCTGTTCTGAAGGGGGTGTTCACATGACTAAAGCAATCAGGAGTTCATCTCATCCTGAATTTTCAGCAGACTTGTGATGGCAATCTAACTTGCCATTTACTGTGATTTTCTTATGGTCTTCAAAGAAATTTCCCTCCAAGGAAACCAAGGACCATAGCTGATGAGTTGTGTGATTTGTAGAGCTTTTCACATCTTGAAATAGTGGCTGCAAAATTTTAATTGGGCACATAGTAAGAGCATTTTCAAATTAACCCCACAAATGCAAAATCTGCTTGTGTAATTAGCTCACATGAAACTGAATGTGAATTGCAGCTTGAAATATGAGTTAAAAACTTTACCAATTAAGGTCTATATTCTGGAGTGGAAATCAACTAAAGCTGTCCTTTGTAGCTGGAAATGCCTTTAAAATGACAGAATAATTTGAATTAAACCACATTTTAAACTTACACTTATGCATTTGTACAGGCGTACTCCCAGACAGATATCCAGACATGCTATTGGTTAAAGTTGGGATCATTTGGATAAGCAAATGTGCAAATAAACTGCACACAGATTGTGTCCAGAACTGTGTTCTCACTGAAGTCAATAGCAAAATCCTCTTTGATTTCAATGGGAGATGGATCAGGCCCTGCTTATTTTTTATTTTTTTTTTTCCTTTCCTTTAAGTCCAGAGCACCATTACTTTTTGATTATGTCATTACAAGGCACTGTATAGCCCTCTGGGAAATGATTGAGGCTTATGGTGAATATCAACACTTCCTTCAAAGCAGACCTGGGCTTTCTGAGAGGGCAGTTTCACTTGCTGCTGTTTTCTTCTCACAGTATTTTTATTACCATCAATAGCTCCCCATGGATTGCAGTTAAAATTTCTCCCAGCAATTTTAGACATACTTCCAGGGAAATATTCACATAGAAGCTCTTAAAAGTGCCCAGTTTTAGCTGGATTCAACAACAAATTCCAAGAATTTCAGAAAGATGCACAAATTACATGTTTCTCCATTTCTAATATCCAAATTCAGAGGCTTGGGAGCTGTTTTTGAGGAGACATCACACTCTCATGTGCCCCATGGACCTCAGCTTAGACTAGGGAGATTGACACCTCTGAAAATTCAGTCCCAGATATTTCAAGCTGGCTGCCAAAATATCTACATCTGAGCTTAGATTACTCTGAAAAAATAAGCTGAAATGCACAAATGAGATGGGGAGAATGGTGGTGCCTTGTGTGATTCCATGGGGAAATTGAAGCTGAGGAGGTGGCAGAGAGCCCTCAGACCCAGGGTGATTCTTTGCCTGGTGCTGAGGACAGAGGGGCTGTCAACAGGCAGAAGGACATCCCAAGGCACTGCCACTCTAAGCTGCCATTATCATTAGCAATGAATCTTTGCCTCACGGGGAAAGTGTGCAAGAATTTGCATTCTGCCTCTGGATTGAGGTTTCCCTAAGCCACCAACCTCCAGAATGAAACATGCCTCAGCAGCAAGTACCACTATCATGCTTGCTCAGTTCATATTCTTCCCTAGCTTTAGGGAGTTAATGATAAGCGCAGTTGGGTTTTTATTATATTCTTTTATTTCTCTTGTATTCTTAGATCATTAAATTATTAGTAGAAACTGACAATTAAAAAGGGATATGACTCAGGATATCAAGAAAAAATGATTTTCATCCAACTTAAAGCTTTTACCTGGGCAGGAGTAGGTTCAATGAAGAGCAGTAAATCTCAGAATTTAAGAGTGTCTTGCACTTCATTTTGAGACTCTGTGTGCAGAAATTCTGTATGTGCTCATTTGGCTTTAATATAATCTACAGCAATGAAGTGCTTGATTATATGATCCTTTTTCAGGCAAAATTCCTAGTGAGTAATCAAAATTCATGGGAATTTTGCCAGTGTAAAGAAGACAGAATTAGTCCCTTTTTTAATTATGTACCTTCCTAATTTTGCTTTCAGTGAAAATGATTTAACTAATTTCAGGCAAGGAAAATAAAATCATTAAGTTACCTTAAGTAAACATCATTACAGAAAAAGAAAATATAAACAGCTGTTATGTAAACAAAGATGGTTATTTCTTTTCTTTGAAAAAAAGGCAACAACATGCTGCCAGCTGAAAGTGGCAGAATTAATCACTGTCTAGAGTATGTGGTATTTGGGTTGGTGTCTTATCTAAGTGCAGCCTCCCTAAAAAGCTGAAAGGCATAACCAGAGATGAAAGATTAGAGAGGTTTTGCTGCAGCCAACACCAGAGGTCCTGTAGAGAACAAGAATGTAGAGACTGACTAATTTGTGTAGACAGACAGCAGGACACTTTCATGGCAATGTGTCTGGGACAAAGAATTAGAGGGAACTTTTCCAAAAGCATAGATGGTTGTGAGGCAATTAACTTCTATTAGCTTGCAGGGGCAAGGAGACACTCGGTGAACATTTATTCTTTGGGAAATGCCCCCTCCATCCCACAAGGATACAGAGATGGACCTCACTGTACAGTTTTTCATCCTAAGCAGCAGTAATGAGGTGTGTTGCCCTGAAGTGTATGCTCTTTATTTGCCCAATAAGCTATCAGCCCCCAGCAGACACTTTGTAATATGACTGATGGAGGAGATGTTTATAGTATCCTTTTTTTCCTCAATAGTGGCCTTTCCAGAAGCATAGCAGCGCACACTTGTTTTGTTTTAAAAGGTCACAGTGGAGCTTTGTGAACCATTGTACTTTTTTTTTAGCTTTTTACAGACTCCATATGGAAGTAAACCAGAATATGTACATGGTGGGGGGACCTGCTGGGAAAAAATTTCTTTTAAATCAGGTTTCTGCTACCTGCTTTTCATCCTGGATTTGGAGGAGTTTGGGTTCTTAATTATCATTCAACCTTTTACTTTGTCAGGTAAGCAACTTGCTTTGTTTTCTTACCTATAACTGAGCTCAATCTTGTAGCACATAGAAAACAAAAAAAAACCCAACCAAGTCTGTCTTTTCTGACAGATGTTCCTGCCCTTGGTGTGGGAATAAGAAGAGCTTATCTTTGTCACTCCCAGCAGCAATTAAATGTTTCATTTTTGTGGCAGATCCAAACTGAAGTGGTATTGTATGTGTACAATTTAGCTGGCTGTCTGCTGATGGTTAAAAAAAGAAATTGTGAAACTCGCATTCCTCTCTAACCTCAAAAGGGAGCCATTTTGATTTTAACAATGTAATATTTTCACTTGATCCAAAACTTTTTTGTCCCATGACATCTTGTTACTAGCTCAGTTTTAGTCTCTAGCAAATAACACACTACAGAGAGTGAAAACCAAAAAGGACACGCCAGCAACTGTTAATTACGTCTTATGCACAGTCCTTCATTCTGCTGTAGTGCCGTGCTCTGTGGTTCAGCATATTAGAATAGTGCATAGCAAAATATAAGTTGTTCTGCACCATCAAAGATACTACTGTTCAGATGTTAATTAGTACATTGTGAGGTGGGTAATTTATAAGTACATTCTCCTGCATGTATGGTCTAAAGGCAAGTGACACATTAAACCCGTGGCACTGGTACTGTGCAGTGAGTGATTCTGTGCTAAGACCTCCACACATTAACCCATTCCCGATGGTATGCCTGCCAATACATGTTTGCAGTAGGAGAGCTGTAGGATGCTCTGATTCAAAGACCACTGAAATCCCTTAACAGGCTTTGGGTAAGATCCAGGAGGTAGCTAAAGAAGAAACCTTAACTTTGCACTCAGTCACACAGAAACTGTAAAGGAAGCACAGATATAGATCTAAATTTGGCCACACATCCCTGTTTCTGATATGAAGTGCCAGTTCTGGCTTATAGAAAAGTGTGTCTGAGAGAGCACTGTCAGTAGCAGATACAGTCTACTGGCTTCATGAGGGTGTATACATCATGTGTTAAGGGAACAGGTTCATACTCATGTCTCTTGCTGCTTAGTTTACTGATATTTTAAATTTCTTGATTGGCTTAAAATTTCAAGTTATGATGCAATAGGAAAGCATAAAGCAATACCTAGTGAAGTCATAACTAAAGCTTTCAAAGCAAACTTACTGCCATGTTTTTTTACAACAGCGACTTCTTGGTCTAGAGATGAACAGCTGAAATGTCTATTTTTTTCTTGGGAATTTCATGTTGCTATCTGTTTCTATGATAAGAAACAGTCCTTTTGCTCAGTGTACTAGAAGTTTATCTGTAATCTGTCTTTCCAGGCAGATCAGATTCTAAGGCATAAAGCATCAGTGGGACTGACCCAAAGGGCAACACTTTTAAAGGTCGATAGTAATATTTCTGTAAGAGTAAAAGGAACCATTGTTATTTTTCCTGATACATTTTTGTATCTGAAAGCATCCGATGAGTAATGTGAAGTAATACTGTGCTCCAGAACTTTGTTGATTATAGATATAAGAACGTTGGATTGGCGTGAAATAGTCTTAAACTGAGTTGTTAAAATTCCTTTTGTTTTGTGTTTTGTATAATTCTTTGGCTATAGTCTTGTCCTAGTGTCAATAAAAGCTATTTGAAGTAATCTTGTTTGATACTCTGAGCTTTTTCTTGCATGTGTTGTTTTTTTTCTGTTTAATCGGTGCTAAAAAGAAGTGGAACTTTGAACATACCACCCCTGGTTGAATCATAGGAATCTGACTTAAAATATAAATGGTGAAGCTGGAGTGCATAAAAAAGGGACCACAAATGTTAATGTAAAAATAATGTTACACAGCAGGCTAAAACGCACACAAAACAGAGCATTGCAGAGCTCCAGCTTTAACACTAAGCTCATATTCTAGAGTTCCTTTGCCTCATTGTCCTGCGACACTGCAGAACATGTAATTCCCCTCACAGTGAAACAATTTAAATAGTACATGTGCTGTTTTGAAATCTGTAATTCTGCTTTGTGGGAGGTGGGGAATATCCAGCACACTGCAGCAATACTCTGGACCACAGAACCGCACCAGCCCTGCTGCTGTAAAACTGGAAGCTGTTACAGATACAACAGACCTATTTCAAGAAAGGCACCCCACAAAAGCAGTGATGTGAGGAAGGAGTGTGCTCGCTGCGAGCACACTTCGATCACTTGCACCTTGTCAAAAGTAGCTCACGGACTGAAATTGTTCCTGTGAGAGGAGATTCATGCACCTAAATGTAGTGGGCAGGAGGGAAGTACAGGCACTGGATTTGCACACGCAGACCCCTACCTCCTGGCACATATCCAGAGCTGCTCCAGAGGCAGATTAAAACCAAAATGAAGCAAAACAGCATCCTACAATTTTAGCTTTATTTCATCCCTCAGCATAACACATCTTTTTCCTTTCTGGGGAAAAGGACCCCAGCCCCAAAAATGCAGAGCTCCACTCCAAACAGTAAAATATTGTTTGAAAATTTGGATGTGTAACGTGTAATTTCCTTGGCATATTTCAAGTTCCATGCCCAGAGGACCTTAATCTATCCAGTCTATCTATCTGCTTCTCTGCTCTGGTTGTTTCCTGTGATTCCATTGTGATAAACTGCAGAGTTCTGTGATAAATTGCATTCATCATGTCTTTCTAGCTGCCTCACCTGCATTTTGTACATTAAACCCTCTCTCCTGGGACTCCTTCTAACATTCCAACCTTGTGAAAGCTTCCAGCTAGACACCACTGTTGCTTTAAAATCAACCTGCCACAGAAATGACCCTGCCTTTGAGAAGTGGAGTGGGTTTTTGGAAACCTTCAGGCGAACAATGTTTCTAGGAATCTCTTGTAGGTGGGTGGGAGTGAATTCTTCCAGATTCCTTCTCTCATGCTTTTTCACTGCTTACCCTGGAGATCCTTCTCCCCTGGAAAAATCTTTCCACTGACAGTTTTGAAAGGAGTAGAATAGTGAGATAAAAGCTGAATGAATATGTGTTGAGCCACTGCTCTTCTTCCTTATTTCTTCTTCTTTGCTCTGCCAAACAAGAGGAAGACAATGTTAAAATTATGGTTTCAGAAAAAGTATTGAGATATTTTTCTCTCTCTTCTTTTTTTTTTTTTTTTTTTTTTTCCCAGAAGGATTTTATTGTTCCATTTGCTGTCAGTGGCCTGGATACAGTACTTTATTCATACAGGCCTCTTGGAGGCTTAGAAAGTAGAGTTTCAAGATTCTTCTTACATCTCTTTCTGGGCTTGCCTACAAAAGGGAGCAGGTTCAATGAAAACCCAGAATGAGGTTCTGTACTTGACTAGAAGCTAAGTAAGAGCATGGGTCCAGAATTTTGTGCAAACTTTGTCATATTTACCCCTCTTGGCTCATACGCTGCTTCAGACTGAATTTCTCTGTCCACATATGACTGAAAAATATCCAGCTGGTTATAACTGCCACGTTAATGTCTTCACTAATAATTGAATAGGGCATTGCTAATAAGATCCCAAATTACCTCTTTTGTGGTATATTTTACATACAAGCAACCTCATTTTGCAACATTCAGATCATTATAGCATCTGAACGCATTGTTCTTTAACTGTCTAATCTAATTAAATATTAGGCTGTGCTAAAGTTATTAAGAGTTATCAGAACAAAATATTTATCAACTGATTAGGGTGATAGCATGCATTACAAATATTTATGTTCCCCAAATCAGTACAGGCTCACTTTCCATGTTCACAGTACCTAATCTCAGTTGTAACAGTGGCCCACCCTAACTACATGCAATTCTACTAAGCTCCACACAGTAACAAAAAATATGAACATAACTGGGGTAATTAGTAATAATATCTTCTCAACTTCTCTTTCCTTCAACACAATCAGTAAAGGTCTAACATTTTTGTCAATATTTTAGATACCCTTGTCTTGAGAATCTCATTGCAACATCTATAGTTAATCTAGTAGAGACTACAATTAATCTGGTCTTGTAATGATAAATTTGGTCTGTGAAGAAGTATAAATTAGATGATTTCTTACTCTAACTACCAAATGGATCAGGAAAAATAACAACTGATTCTTCAGAAAAAAAAACAAAATTAGTTGATTTCTCTCATTATCAGCCACCTCTCCTCATCCCTCAAAAATCATCTTATATAAATATGTATGATGCTAGTCAGAATGCAAATGTGTGCTGTCTGTCACTACACCTGATGTGTAACAGTTCTGTCTCTGCCACCTTAGCTAGAAGGAACCAGTTCCTGCTCCTTCTGAGCAACTGCCTGCACTGGGCATTTGAGTTCATATTGCAAGTTGAGTACGTAGTTTAAAAACAGCTGCAACATCTATAAACAGCAGAAAGAACAGGAAAACTTAAAAAATGAATATGTGAACTCAGTTTTCCTTTAAAATGTCCAATGAATTATTTAATGAGAATCATCTTGATGGTGTAGCATGCCTTGCAATGAAATCTTTGGAAATTTTAGGAATATTGGATGCTGGAAAACCTCTCTGTCTTCACTGACCTACAATAGCAGCTCATGTTGCATTCTTCAGAGCCTGTATCTGCACTGGGGATATATCAGATAGCTGCTCCTGAATCCTCTCTGTAATGTCAAAATTTGCATGTATTCCTTTCATTTCCAAAATGAATTTCAATTCATTCAAATGAATGAACCTTTCAATTCCAAAATTTCTGTCCTTTCCCCCTCTGTAGGTGTAAGTAACTCTTCCTTTTATTACTGGTTGATGGCACAATACGTAAGGAGTGGTCCTGGTCACAAGTTATGATTCCTCAGGCTCTTATGTAGAACTGGCTGCTTCTTGATATTGTTGAACATGCCTTCCAAGGGAATGTAAGTGGTTTATTGATGGAGCTGATAGGGTCTACTGAGACTTGGCTGTGGCTAGCAAGTATCTGGCTGCACAGGGTGGTTTGCTGTTTTGTGGGGGTTTTTTTGCTGAGGAAAAATATGAATATGTAAGAAAAAATATTGTTATTAATGCTAAAGCGGTGATGAAAGGTGCACACCATATTTTTCTCTTCCATTTCAGTAAGAAGTAGACTTGGAACAGCAAAATGGCTCAAACTGAGTTACTGAGTGGATTGAGGAAATTTATTTCAGTGGCATTCAATATGAAAATCCAATATCCTTGTAAACACCCAGGACTTCATCCTTGCAACAGCCACAAATGCAGACCAGTTGTTGTCTCTTTTCACAGATAGGACTAAAAGACTTGTTTGTGGATCCACAAAGAGCTTTTACCTGACAGATGAATCTCCTGAGCTACAGTCTTAATGCCAGCACCCAGACAGTCCATGTGACTATATTTCTTCCAGATGCCTTCGCCCTATAAAGTAAGTGTATGTGTATTTGTGACTTTAGATGCTGAATCTTCCTCTTCTAATTTTAGTTCATTGTTTTAAGCTCGCTTGTTCTCTGGTATGTGTATTGCTTACTGGGACACTGCTAACGAACAAAAACTTTTGTTTATTTTTTCAAAGACAGTATGAGCATATAGAGGAGATGTGGGATTTTTATGAATCATATCCTGTAGTTTCCTTGTGTGGTTTTTTTTTTTCTTACTCACTCCCTGCTTTTCATGTACTGTGCACAGGAGCTAGACCTTTCCTTTATACTGCTAGGTGTGTTGGTTGCTGTGATTTGAACATGAATTGCAAACACAAAATATCAGTAAATACTGAACTTTTGTAAGGGATAACAACTGAACCATTTCAGATGAGGCTTCAGGGGATTTGGAAGAAAGTCATCTCAAGACTATCACTACTTATAAGCGTAAGGTTGTGGGTTTTATTACTAAGTAAAGAAACATCAGCCCAGTCCTTATGCCCCATATTAACCTTAGGGGATCAGTGAATAGACAGGATAGAGCATACATAGGCTGTTCGCACCAAGTACTCACAAATGAATGCAGAGCAAATCCCTAACTCACATTGTGAGTCAGGAATTTTGAAAAAATATATGCTTCTTGCTGAACAGGTGATTTCTCAAATCTATTTTCTGCCTACTTAGATTTCCTTTGAGCAGCGTTACTTGACTTTTCAAGACATATTTTGTTAGACCCTTATATGCAAATGAAAATGAATCATTAACTGTGATATGGACAATAACTGATATCTGAGCAGCTCAAAGGAAATTTTAAAATGAGATCACAGCAAAATGTGTCTGCTGAGCTCCAATCTCACGTACCCATCTTTGATGCAAAAAAGAATAAAGAAGCAAGACATGATATAGGAAGAATTATCTCAACTATGTAACAGCCATCACCTCCTCATGTTACGGACATGTCTTTATGAAAGGAATTTTTAAGAGTGTGAACTATGTCTAGCAATTGAAAGGAAAATATACTCTAAGGGATAGACTACACTGTTTGCTGTGTAATGCCATGACTGAATTCGTAAGTGTCACAACCTTTGCTAAAGAGGGTGTGCTAGGTCACACAAACACATCAGAGGGGAACAGACATGTTGATCACATTGTATCTCCCATTTGTTCACCATACAGAAATAACCACATAAATTCTCACAGTGGTACACTAATGCCCAGATTCCTAGCAGCAGCCTGTGAGAGTCATTGTACATGGAGTCAGGCAACCCTGATATGGCTGTGGCCCTGGCAGGAGTGCTGG